CAGACCATTGTGAACGAGTCAAATAACGCAAGTAAACAGGGAAAAACTGTCTTGTTTGTGAAAAATTCTTCAGGTAAAATTTTTATTCCGCTGAAAATCTAAAAAAAAATTCCACTCTCGCAATGGGAGAGTGATATTTATGCCACTTTCAGCAGATGAATTTCTATTCATCTCAAAAAATGCATATATAACTAAGTGCATTCATAAATGCATCTTTATGTATGAATGCACATCTGTAGTTATTAGACTTTTATGTACAATTTAAGACTTTCCTGAAAAAAAATAGCAAGACCTATATAAGAGTCCTCACTGCGTTCATTACTCTAAAAACGAGAAAACCACAACAAATAAATTTCATGTAATGCCACATAAGATCTACGATAGATAGATCATTAGTGTATGCAAAGTAGACTACATAATTTAGAAACTAAACCGAAAGAAATTAAGTCGACATCCATGAATCCAAAAACACAGCAAAAAAATTAACATCAAAACTCTTTAATTATACATACAATAGTAGAGTTGTAGCCAGCTCGTACTCGCTGAACGCTTTATGCAGAACATGACCATCAAAATGTCAATAGAATCCAGTAAACCGAAAAAAGCTGATAACCTTAGAAGCAAACTTATCAATTTTCGAAAATCAGAAAATCAATTTCACGTCATATCGGTTTGAAATTCAAGGTTTTCAAAAATATTTTACGCTGCTTTAAATAAAAAATAAACCAATCAGAAAAAAAATTAATTAATCTAAACTTTTAATTCAGCTATGAATTCTTAAAATTGAAATCCATTTTCGGAATAGGAAATCAACCCTTTTTTCATTGTTAGCAAAATATTATTTAATTTAAAATCATCTCCTTATTTCAAAATTTCTTCACTGCAATCACTGACACTTGAATAAGTAAACTTTAAACCGTGAAAAAGAAAGTCTTAGCGTGAACAAAGTTTATCACTTTATCCGAAAAAAAATCAACAGACCTTATAAGTGAAAAACAGTCAACAGACCATTGTGAACGAGTCAAATAACGCAAGTAAACAGGGAAAAACTGCCTTGTTTGTGAAAAAGTCTTCAGGTAAAATTTTCATTCCGCTGAAAATCTAAAAAAAAATTCCACTCTCGCAATGGGAGAGTGCTATTTATGCCACTTTCAGCAGATGAATTTCAATTCAACTCAAAAAGTGCATATATAACTAAGTGCATTCATAAATGCATCTATATGTATGAATGCACATCTGTAGTTATTAGACTTTTATGTACAATTTAAGACTTTCCCAAAAAAAAATAGCAAGACCTATATAAGAGTCCTCACTGCGTTCATTACTCTAAAAACGAGAAAATCACAACAAATATATTTCATGTAATGCCACATAAGATCTACGATAGATAGATCATTAGTGTATGCAGAGTAGACTACATAATTTAGAAACTAAACCGAAAGAAATTAAGTCGACATCCATGAAGCCAAAAACACAGCAAAAAAATTAACATCAAAACTCTTTAATTATACATAAAATAGTAGAGTTGTAGCCAGCTCGTACTCGCTGAACGCTTTATGCAGAACATGACCATCAAAATGTCAATAGAATCCAATAAACCGAAAAAAGCTGATAACCTTATAAGCAAAGTTATCAATTTTCGAAGATCAGAAAATCAATTTTCACGTCATATCGGTTTGAAATTCAAGGTTTTCAAAAATATTTTACGCTGCTTTAAATAAAAAATAAACCAATCAGAAAAAAAATTAATTAATCTAAACTTTTAATTCAGCTATGAATTCTTAAAATTGAAATCCATTTTCGGAATAGGAAATCAACCCCTTTTTCATTGTTAGCAAAATATTATTTAATTTAAAATCATCTCCTTATTTTAAAATTTCTTCACTGCAATCACTGACACTTGAATAAGTAAACTTTAAACAGTGAAAAAGAAAGTCTTAGCGTGAACAAAGTTTATCACTTTATCCGAAAAAAAATTAACAGCCCTTATAAGTGAAAAACAGTCAACAGACCATTGTGAACGAGTCAAATAACGCAAGTAAACAGGGAAAAACTGCCTTGTTTGTGAAAAAATCTTCAGGTAAAATTTTTATTCCGCTGAAAATCTAAAAAAAAATTCCACTCTCGCAATGGGAGAGTGATATTTATGCCACTTTCAGCAGATGAATTTCTATTCATCTCAAAAAATGCATATATAACTAAGTGCATTCATAAATGCATCTTTATGTATGAATGCACATCTGTAGTTATTAGACTTTTATGTACAATTTAAGACTTTTCCCGAAAAAAAATTAGCAAGACCTATATAAGAGTCCTCACTGCGTTGATTACTCTAAAAACGAGAAAACCACAACAAATATATTTCATGTAATGCCACATAAGATCTACGATAGATAGATCATTAGTGTATGCAAAGTAGACTACATAATTTAGAAACTAAACCGAAAGAAATTAAGTCGACATCCATGAAGCCAAAAACACAGCAAAAAAATTAACATCAAAACTCTTTAATTATACATACAATAGTAGAGTTGTAGCCAGCTCGTACTCGCTGAACGCTTTATGCAGAACATGGCCATCAAAATGTCAATAGAATCCAGTAAACCGAAAAAAGCTGATAACCTTATAAGCAAATTTATCAATTTTTGAAATTCAGAAAAACCAATTTTAACGTCATATCGGTTTGAAATTCAAGGTTTTCAAAAATACTTTACGCTGTTTTAAATAAAAAATAAACCAATCAGAAAAAAAATTAATTAATCATAACTTTTAATTCAGCTATGAATTCTTAAAATTGAAATCCATTTTCGGAATAGGAAATCAACCCCTTTTTCATTGTTAGCAAAATATTATTTAACTTAAAATCATCTCCTTATTTCTAAATTTCTTCACTGCAATCACTGACACTTGAATAAGTAAACTTTAAACCGTGAAAAAGAAAGTCTTAGCGTGAACAAAGTTTATCACTTTATCCGAAAAAAAGTCAACAGCCCTTTTAAGTGAAAAACAGTCAACAGACCATTGTCATTGAGTCACATAACGCAAGAAAACATGGAAAAACTGCCTTGTTTGTGAAAAATTCTTCAGGTAAAATTTTCATTCCGCTGAAAATCTAAAAAAAAATTCCAATCTCGCAATGGGAGAGTGATATTTATGCCACTTTCAGCAGATGAATTTCCATTCAACTCAAAAAATGCAAATATAACCAAGTGCATTCATAAATGCATCTATATGTATGAATGCACATCTGTAGTTATTAGACTTTTGTGTACAATTTAAGACTTTTTCCTGAAAAAAAATTAGCAAGATCTATATAAGAGTCCTCACTGCGTTCATTACTCTTAAAAACGAGAAAAGCACAGCAAATATATTTCAAGTAACGCCACAAAAGATCTACGATAGATATATCATTTGTGTATGCAGAGTAGACTACATAATTTAGAAACTAAACCGAAAAAATTAAGTCGGCATCTATGAAGCCGAAAACACAGCAAAAAATTAACATCAAAACTCTATAAGTACACAGTCGTAGCCATAGCATGCAGTAGTAAATAGTACCCTAGCATGCTGTAGTTGAATTTGAATTTTCGTGAAATTGAGCGTGTCAGCATACTAAGACATTCAACTGATTTTGTTAAACTAGTTGTTAGCCCGATAAAAAATATAATTTCCGATTTGATAACGCTTGCTAATCGCACGCGTAATAGGATTTAAAAAATCAAATTTTCAAGTCCCCCTGAAACTACATTGAACAACACTTGCACCTTTAATGAAATTTGCTTACAGAGTAAGAAAATTCTGTTATAAGACAGCTAAGCCGACAATCTTTGAGCATATTTAAATTTTTATTTTTTATTTTTGAATGATCCAAGTCTCACCGAAACTCATTGAAAAACACTTGCACTTGCAACTACAATGAAACCTCCTTATAGCACAAGCAAAGCCCGTCATATGGCAACAAAACCGACAATTTTTCTGCAGACAACGAATTATTACTGGATAAAAAATTCTATAGAAATACATACTGAAACAAAACAAGGTGCGTCCGGGACTCGAACCCCCTTTTTTACCTCAAATTCCTGACCTTGTGTTGCAAAGGCTATTACGTTATCTTTAGGCCACGTGGGAACGCACCTGGAAGTTCTTAAGCTTGAATAATAAAGAAAGTAAAAAAAGTTGTTCACGGGTTTACGGAAAAAGCATAGTTTGCGATTACAAGACAGTTGCTTTGGGGAACCTCTCAGGACTGTCAGCCCGATTGCATTATCTGCTGATTTTGTATTGGGTAAACATTCTGTTGAAAACTTTATACTTATTTTTTTCTTCTAATTTTCATATTTGAATACTCAATTCTAATTGGTTTTTAATAATTTCGAACTTTGGCCAGTCTATCTTAAGGGATTGTGCCTAAATTACATGAGCTACTTATCACAAAGTATCAAACAATTACCAAACTACCGACTATAATTGATCACACTACTGAGGCGTGTCGACTAAGACAAACATTTAGAGATTTTTTTTTCAAATTAGAACAACTCAGCAGATCAAATCACATAGTTTTTCGAAATCGTAGTACTTTGTACAAAAATAAAGCTGCGTAGCAAAATAAAAGCATGTACACACGCAAAGAAAGCGCCATTTTAAAAACAAGCCAGCTTATTTATATCAGTTTACATGACATGGACGCTTAGAAACAAAGATAGACGAGATATGCAACTAGGATATATTAAAATACTTTCAAAAATGTGATCTGAGTAAAACACAGATAAATCGAATCTTAGAATAAAGGTGAGCTCTAATTTACAAACATTCACGATGACAGCAATTAATGAAAATAAAGAACGATGCTCTAGGACAATTTTACCAAGTACGCAACAGTCAATTGTACCATCGAATTCTGAGGCTGAAATGTTCCAAAACTAAAATTCGTTTTCCGCATGAATTCAGTTACCCAAAATGGTTATTGAATTGGATCTTTTTTGAACGAAATTTCGGCCTCAAAATAAGTACTTAGCTTTTTCATCGCTTTGTTTTTAAATCTATCTTCAGATGCCGCTCTTTTACCCAAACTTCAGCAATAATATGCAATCATGGCTGCAAAAATATTAAGATGTGTGTTGATGTTTCAGCTAAGTACAGATGGATTTTTTCAATAATCATTTGTAGGACACACATTTGCTTGCATTTCAGGCGAATCATCCTCTTCGTTCGGTATCTGCAAGGATATAGTCGGGTTGTTTGTCGGACTTTCCAGAAAACTCTCAAATGTGGGCAACTCCGAGCCATTCGAAGTCACACTTCCTTGATGGTTGCTGACGACTTTTAAAGACAGTGGGGGAGTGTGATTGCTAAAATTTTATATTTTTAATGCTAAAATTTTATATTTTTTTCGAGTTTATATTTCTTATTTGATTTTTATTTTTCAAAACAAAGACAACGGACAGTTGGAAAAACACAAACATAAAAAACATGAGAACTCGGAAACATGTTGAAAAAACTAGTTCCATCAAAAATTAAATTTTCGTATGTCTCGATATAAGTTCATTCTAGGCAAACATGCCACAAATTTGAAAATTAAATTATCAACAGAACAAAACTTACCAAGAGAAAATAAAGCCGGCAACCTTGAGCAGACACAAACTGAGAAGAAAAAAAATAGATTTTTTATGAGATCTAATTTTTTTCTGCTCAAGTTGTGTCGGCTCAAAGATTGCCGGCTTTATTTCCTCTACTAAGTTTTGCTCTGTTGATAATTTAATTTTCAAATATCTGGTATCTTTGCCTGAATTGGAATTCCATCGCGACTTCGGAAATTTCATTATCCTTCGACCTATCTTTTTAAATTTTAATGGTTAATTACAAGTGATGCGAAGCTCCGCTTCGCCTCTGTTTTATGAAATATGTACTTATTTTAAAATCCAACCTGACAATAGAAAGAAAAACACTTGCATAGTCAACTAAAAAGGAAGTTGCCTACAGCACAAGAAAAAAGTCAATGAAATGACAGCTAAGCCGATAATCTTAAAGACACCCTTTGAGCCGAAAAACAAATTGATTTCATATTTTTAAAAAAAGTTCCTAGTCCACCTCCCTGAACCTACAGAAAACACTTGCGCTTGCCTTGAAAATTGCTTACAGGACAAACAAGATTTGGGATGTGGCAACAAAGCCGACAAAACTTTAGCAGAATAAGGGAAGTCCGATAACTAAATTTTTAATCAATTTTTTTCAACTGCATGTATGCTGAAAAAAAACAAGGTCCGGTCGAGAGTCGAACCTCAGACCTTAGGATACAAAAAAGACGGCGTTAACTCTAGGCCAAATGGGAAGAAGGAACCTGGTGAATGTGAAGGTTTAATATAAAAAGTTATTGGAAAAAGTCTTAATCCCGATTTCAAGACACTTGCTCTCGTAAGTGGTATAATACCTCATTTTGTCGAACACGATTTTTTCCCCACGAAACAACGTAATATATAGTCATTATGCCATAAAATACAAGCTGAAAACGTTTAAATGAAAAAAAAACTATAGAAAAAAAACTATTAAAGTTCAGACTTGGCAAAAGGACACAAGTTACAAACTTTCAGCGGGAGCGAAAAATTCAAAATCAAACGAAAAAACAAGGCCATACAAAAAACGGTAAATGAACTGATGGAAACTAGGCCGAACACCACGAATCCGAATAAAATCAAAGTTTTATCAAGAAAATTATTTGAAAACAAACTAACACCGGAAATGGAATCCACCTATTCCATTTCCGGTGTTATTGAGCATGTCTTAAATTTACCATTCCTACACATTTGACTATTCTGTCGCTAAAGCTATTTCCGGAAAAAAAGTTTAGTACCCGATTGCAATACCCTTGCTTATCGCAAGGGTAATAAATGCAAGGAAACAGAAAAAAAAAAGAGTTCAATTTTCGAAACCAAAGAAAAAAAATATATGGCCTGACACTCATTGAATTTCAACAAGAAATAGTGATTGATAAAATTAACAAAACTTGCGAAAAATAAATCAATGTGTTAATTTTCATTCCTTTGGGAAGTCTCAAAACTTAATTCCACCTTCAAAACTGGAAGTCTTTCACGTTCTTCGCGCCAGTTCCGCCATCGTATTTGGAGAAGGCGTGTGGCCTACCTTTTAGGAAAGAACTGAAATTGAGCTCAGAAAGTGCAAATATACTTATGTGCAGTCAAAAAACATTAATACGTACGAATGAACTTCGGTAGATATTAGAGTAGTTAATCCTTTTAACTGAAAAAAAAACAATAGACAAATCACAACGTTAACCGACTAACGAAATTAAATGACATCTATACAGTGCAAAAAAAACATAGTAATGAATGCAAGTAAGCATAAAAAACATACTTTATTGAAAAAATCTCAAATTTCAGAGAAAAAAATAGATGAGATTTAAGCTATTTGATTGTCTAGAACAATGGCGCTTTTTCGATAACATGAACATAACTAGAAAACTGGATCAATAGATAAAGTTTTTATTCTGCTGGAAATCTAAAGATTAAATTCCACTTTCGAAACTAGAAATTGTTCACGTTTATCGCGCAATTTCCACGTTCGTTTTTGGAGAGCGCTATTTACGTCACTTTCAGCAGATGAATTTCAATTGAACTCAAAAAGTGCATATATACATAAGTGCATTCATAAAATCACAAAAATGTATGAATGCACATCTGTAGTTATTAGAGACTTTTAAGACTTTTCCTGAAAAAAATCAGCAAGACCTAGATAAGAGTATTCACTAAGTTCATTACTCTTAAAAGAAGAAAAACGCCTCGAGGTTAAAAAAGATGCCTACGTATCAATCGAATTCAATCTTCGACCTAAGGATTATGAGTCTCACGCACTAACCACTCAGCCACGGACGCTTAATAAATCAAAAACAATAGCCATAAACAAAGCAGAGATTAGATGCTATGAAATTTCTAATGCTACAGATTGTGATTATAACAACAGTGCCACCAAACAAAAGAATAATTTTATCAACATTTTTATTTGCGAGTTAGCTTAGAAAAAAGAAGGCTCGTACTAATACACTTCGCTCGCAAGTATAAACAGGCTCATTGAACAGTCAAGTTAAAAAAACGAAGGAAAACGAAAAGCGGAGCTTTTAAAATTACCACAGACGCAAAACCGAGCTTCTCACTAAATGCGAAACAAACTTGAAGGATTAACATAAAAAAAAACAGCCAACAGACAGTTGAAAAGAATCAATGACGGCAAAGAAATAAGAAAAACACTGAGTTTAAATTCCTCTACCGAAATCAGAAATCGAACACGTTCTTTGTGACCTGTAAACGTCTGCTATTTGATAGTGGAGTTTGCCGTCCTTTCAATAGAAACATTTAAAAATATCAAAAATTAAACCGCGACAAGAGTGTGAACTACGCTCATCGCCTCTTATTTAAAACAATCTGAAGGCTTCCACAATAAAACTGCCTGTAATGCACTGAAAACCATAAAACCAAAACATGTTTAAATTATGCATTTTAAAAAATGCGAGATATATTGAGTTTGAAAATTTGTTAAATCGAGTTTTTTATTTTGTACTGTTGTTTGAAACAGCTTTTTCGCGGTTCATTTGATGATTGAAAAATGCATCAACTGTATAAACTTATTACTAATCGAATTTCCAAGCACATTCTATCAAAAAGTTGCGAAAGTGGCACCAAAATTTGCGACGTAGATTGGAATAAAGAATAACCGTACAATTACACAACGCTCACTAAATCTGGCCAGTGTAAGCAATAAATTTTTAAAATATTTAATCTTTCCTTTATTCCCTGTTTCCTTTTCGAAATTAGAAATGAGTCACATTTTTTGTGACCTTTACACTTTTCTTATTCGATAGTGGAGTTTGATTTCCTTTTAATAAAGTAGATTAAACGTCAACTCATAAATAAATTGAGCTTGAGCGTGAAAACTTTTCAAGACTTATCCTGAAAAAAAAAACAAAAAAAAAAATCAACAAAACCTATATAAGAGTCTGAACTACGTTCATCGACTCTTAATAATGTGCATTTTACAATTTGGTCTTTTGGTTCTTTGCTCCTAATAACCAATTAGATGAGATTGACAAAAACAAGAGCCTAAACATTTCATCACAGACTCGCAAGCAAGACGACAGCTTTTACAAACAGGACCTGTTGAATTTAGGGTGTTGGTGAATCTGATCGTTAAACAGAAAGTATTTTTTAAACGCATACATGCCTAACCATTTACATAAAACTCTACTCCAAATCACACACCCCAACTTAAAGTTGGATCAGGATCACAATCCTGAAGATCAGGAGGGACATTTGATTGGTTATCCATTAAGACGCCCAACACTTGAGTGACTGGTCCGCTTTGGTGTGAAAGAGCCATCAAACCCGATAAAGACTGTAGATTTGAATACTCGTTTCCTCCAACGCCCATTTGATTGCCATTGAAGTTATCCTGTTGGTCAATTAGCGAGCTCATGAATACATCTTCATGCCCTATCAACTGCACGCCTAACGAAAAAAAAAACAGCAGACAGTTAACAATTGCCAATGATCTCAAGAAAATCAAAACAACTGCAGCTGCTGAAAAATGCATAATCTTTCAATGAACAATTTTTGGTAAAAACTAGCTTGAGCTTGAACAACTCGAAAAGCGTGAAAAAAGCGAAAAAAAATCACTGTCTTCACTTGGTTCATTGAAAATTGACTAACATGAATTTAAAACTACGTTACAATTACATATAAAATAACCAGCTAACATATTCATTACCAATTGAATCCAGCCAGGGGCGGATTTAGGGGGGCGGACGCCTCCCCCCTCTTCAGGGATTCGACCCCCAGCCGACCCAAAGGGTCCCCCCTTTGGTACTTTTTAAGAAATCCATTTTTTGCCGACCGACCCTAGAATTTTTCTAAAGGCGCCTTTGGCGCCAATATATACTAACTTTGAGGGGGAGCGCGCGCCAAAAAAACGCGATTTTTTTCTCAAAACTTTTCAAAAAACGGCTTTTTTTACCTATTTTTTTCACAAAATTTCCTGTTTTTGCTAAAAAAAAAGGCGTCAAAATTTTCGAAACTTTTTTGAAAATAAGCCCCCCCTCGAAAAAATCCTAGATCCGCCCCTGAACCCAGCAGAAATTAATCTTTTAAACTGTTCACAGCCGATATCACTAACCTCCAGTTGGGCTAAGCATTTGCGATCCGACAGAACCATTGACACTACTTGTCGATGGAGTGGGGCCTCTGCTTAGATTCATTCTGGCAAGTGTGAGAGATAGCTGATTTCCGTCTTGATAAGTCGGTTGCATTTTAGATCCTGTCGGTTTGGTTTCAGCAGAATAATTTTTCAGAACTGATATTGGCGATATCGCAAATTCGTCTGATTTTCGTGACAATACTAATCAAAAAATTTACAAATGAGAACCTTAAATCATTGAGCCTACGAGCGGGTGAAATGCTTTCGTGGATGGTCTTACGTTCAAATACGAAAAGCTAATTTTCAGAAGCTGATTGATTTTACAATGATTTAACAGAAAACTTAAGCGAAAGTATTTTTTTCAACAGACATCTGTGGTTCGCAAACAAAAGCAAAAAGATGAAGCACGTTGAAGTGCTTGATTTTAAAGAGTTGTTTATGACTGGCACTCTTCTTTTCAAACTATCCCGTCAAAAGAAAAGTGGAACAATAGGCAATTTGTTCATCCCGCTGGGAATTTAGTAAGTTTAAGTCCATTTTTGAAATACATTTTCCAGAAAAAGGGGAAAGAATTATAACAACCTACATAGGTGACAATAATTTTGTTCTTTTACACTTAAAAATACAAAAACAAAGCTTGGACGAAAAATCTCACGTACAGGATTCGAACCACCAAACCCTGAGTTCGAATCTAAGGTCTCCACATTTGCACTGATCGCTTTCCAGCCACCAAAAAAAGCGGATATAACACATGCTATTAAATTACCGAACAATAAGAGCAATATACAGATAATGAAGTCGATAACTAATTATTCGTGCTCTAAACTGTGCAACTCAAGTTTGAAATCAAAAGTTTTTTTTTGGCAAATTTATTAGAAGAACTTACTGTTGAAAAGGCAAATAACTTTGATTTATACGTGCACCAGTAGCCGTTCAAAAGAAGTCCAAAATAGTAATGCTCATACCAGAAAACCGCTTGATTCAGAGAATGACAAACCCAAGAACCGCTCCTATATTTGTCATAATTACTTAGAATGGATGCTGTAGTTTAGCGCTGTGATAACACGTCATATTTGAAGTCCAAAAACTAATATTGAAACTGTACTAGCACTCGGCCAATTATGTAGGAAAGTTTAAAAAATTGCCTCGTACTACAACACAAACACTCGCAGATATTCTCAAAATTTTTGATTACATTGTTTTCTAACTTTCTCCTTAGTTTCTGGTTGAAAAAATCTATTTAATACTGTTCCCGCGATATTGAACTAGTCCCGGAAACTGCCAGATGCAAACGCACCGTCTCTAGAACGTTCACAAGTCCAAAGATTCATAAAACACAACTTTTGTTGCAATTAACAAACTTTTTACCCTTATTGATGTCGGTAAGCGAATCAGTATTTGTCCAAAATTTTTACCGCAAATTTGTAAAATTAAGAACTGTACCATACATTGACAGTGCTGAATCATCTATTTGCAAATCAAAGGTAAGTTGATTAAAACTCAGCGCCCAGTTCATAGTTCTGCAATTGAAGTGTGCGCTTTTCAAACATACCTCCGATAAATCTTATACACAATACGAGAACAAGGACTCAGTGAGACAAATCTGCGTGGTAACATTGCTAAGATTTTGAAAAAATTGTAAAACGAAATGATTCATCAAATTATTTTCAGTTTGACTCGGATCACCAATGTTTCGTACTATAAAAATGGTCACACTGTGTGACTGTTGATGTTTAAGTCATACATCTGTGGCTTTTTGCTGAAGTAATTTTAAGGATTCTAAATCAGATATAAAATATATCTGGAAACTAAAAAGCTCATTGTTATTTTAATAGGGTGGTGAATCCTGATGCGCTATGCACAAACAATACGTTTTTATAGAAACTTTGTAAATTAATACACCAATTTCTGAACTTACATCCACTAGTACTACTAAAGCTTTCCATCTTATTTAGAATGCGAAGAGCAACATTTTCCTGGTTTTCACCCGACTGTGATTGTACCACTGGGAACGAGAAATGTTCAATATCTGCTTCTGCTACAAGCGACAAAACAACCCAGCACTCTTCGTGACACGAGGTACTGAACCGCAGGAGGAATACTCCCGCCTAAAACAAAAGGTACACGTGAGCACTTCGCCAACCTAAATATCTTGTTCCCGCCTAAATTAATGCTACACTCGTTATCAAAATTTACAAAGATGAGTTAGACGTGAGCACAGTGTTAAATTAAAATGAAAAATACCATGCACCTTGAGTCAAGTTTTTACTTTCGTTCTATTTATTATTATGAAAACATTCCAATCACGGATTTATTTTGGGCCAATTCTTATTTAGATTGTTGAGCGTATTAGACGCTCCGAGCGGAAATGAATTTGTAAGCTGAAATTCAAAAAATCTACACAAACAAACATTACCAACAGACCGTTGGAAAAGAGTCAATGAATCCAATTAAACATTTACAAAAACTCAACTTTCGAGGTTCAAAAAAAAGATACCTTTGAAGCCCTTGGTAGAACAAATTATGATTGGTACTTTTTCGATAAAAAATTAACCAAATTTGAGAAAACTGGAGGGTTAATTCTAAAAATTAAATTCCAATTTCGAGACTAGAAATCATTCACGAATTTTGCGCCATTTGCACGTTCGTATTTGGAGAGTGCTAGTAACGTCACTTTCAGCAGATGAATTTCAATTGAACTCAAAATGTGTATATATACCTAATTTCAACAATATTTTAAGAAGGTTTCATGGAAAAAAATCAGCAAGACCTATATAAAAGTCTTCACTACGAACATTACTCTTAAAAATGCATCATCTGTGTTGACTTATTAATATTCGAATGTCAAAGCACATGCTATCAGAAAACTATAACGGTGCCCCAAAAGTGGCACCAAGATTTGTGACTTAGATTAGAAAAAAAAGGTTCTTTAGTGTAATAACTTTATTACAAGCATGCTCGCCTCGCTCGCCTAATCGCGCGAAATTAGAACAAATGAAAAATTTCTAACGGGCTTTTCTCGATATTGGAACAAATTTTTGAAAATTTTTTGATGTTCAAATCATATGATATACGACTCGACCCATTTCAATGGTTATTTGTGGGACCTGATTTGCGTAGTAAGCAAAAACTAAACACACCCGATGACAAAGTTCCACCCCCAATTTCAATGGTCAAAACAAAATACAAAAGCTTGAAAACTTGAGAACAAACATTTGCTATGAGACAAAAAAACACACTCACCTTAAAATGCGCAATTTTGTTCATTAACACTTAAAATCATCAGAACATAGCCAGTGTCAATGAACAAGGAAATGAGAAAAAAACATGATTAAACAACGAAAAGAAATGATTGAATGTTTTTAAATTTCGAAGAAAAAAAACCCTTCATATTAAAGCCTTTTGAGTTTCAACAATCTTTTAAGATAGAACTAGAAATAGGACTAACCCAATTAGAGAAAAGTGGGTCATTTTTTTTTATTCAGGGAAATCTCAAAACTGAAGTCTACGTTCGAAACAAAGTCATTCAATATTTTAGCGCGATTTGTTCTTTCGGTACAGGAAATTTAAAAAATTATTATATTGACCGCAAAAACACAACTTGACCGCGGACTTTTTCCTGAAAATAAATAAATTAAAAAGTGGGCCTAAAAAGAGTAATATCACTGCGTTTATTATCACATTAAAAAAACATAAAAACTCAGAAACATCGGAAAAAAACTGAACAAAAAACTGAAAGCGTCACCCTGAATTCGCAAACTAATGACTAAAACAATTCAGAAATCAAAATGAAATCAATTTTTGAAAAAAAAGCAAGAGCCATATACACACTTACTGGTTGTTCAGAGAGAACTCTTTCGGATTGGTCTTTCGTCATTATTCCCATGTGAACTCCGTCTTTGATCATCCTTCCGAAGTTTTCTCGCTTCACTATAGTATCCTTGGTGCTCTCTCGACCCCTAAAAATACCGCATTCAAATAAAATTTAAACACCTCACATCAGCCAATCCTGCAGATTTCACAGCTATTATTATATTCTCTTACAGATAGAGGCAAAATTGAGCTTCGCGCCACTTGCGATACAAAAATGGGCGACTATGATTAGATGTTTCTGATTTTGACTATGATTACAAGCAAATGAAAAAAAAAATCAAAATTTGGAAGAAAAAACTGGAAGAAAATAACTTTACCATTAAATAAAGCAACACGCTTCCTGGAACAAAATAACCTGCACCATTTGAAACTTTACAGAGCTTTCAAAACGCTAACAAATAACCGATTTTTCTGCTGAACTGAGCCGACAAAAGTTAGCAGACATGAAAGTCTAAATTGGCCGAAAATTTTCAGTTTCAGCAAAAAAAACAGATCCCGACTGAAATCGAACTTCCAAGATTTGCCGCCTCAAGCATGGGTGTTACCATTCCATCAAATGCACTGAACACTCCTTGAATTTTTAAAGAAAAAAACTTCCATAATTTTATCATAAACAACATAAAAAAATCAAAAATAGTAAAAAAAACTTCTTTGAACTTTACTTTCCCTAATTCAAAATACAATGAGCTCCCTTTCAATTAAAGAAAAAAGCCAAAATATCAGGCAAATTTGGTGCTGCGGTAACTAAGCCGATAAAAAACAAGCAGACACGCGTTTCTATTTCAAACGTTTTCTATCATTTTCTAATTCAAACATTTTGTCAGGAACGAAAAAATATGAAAAAGATTTGATTTCATATTGCTTCCAAACAAATTTTAGCCGACCAATTTATCGGAAAAATTGACCACAAGAAGCTTATAAATAACCGTAAGCTTATGCTTTTCGCTTGAAATAAAAAAAAATTTTCAGCTAAAATGTCAATCAATATTTGAATTGACAACTTGACTAATGTTCTCACATTTTTCACGAAGAATTTTTTTAATGCAACTTTTGCATGAAGTTTATGCCATTTGAGAAATTTTCAATATCTTTGACACTGAGATTAATGCCATTTGAGACCTAACCAATTTTTTGACGCGCGGACAATTTTTCGTTTGCAAAAAAAAAACAGGTCCTGGCCGGATTCGAACATAAGACCTTTGTCTATACAGGTAGGGCTGTTAGCTCTTCGCCACATGCGCAAATTAACGTCAAACTTGTTATTTCATATAAATAGAAGGTAAAATAAATTCAAGTGATTCTGTTAAGCTAGTTGTTAACCCAAAAAAAATTCTATATTCCGATTTGATAACGCTTGCTAATCGCAAGTGTGGTAATCCATCAAACTCCAAAAATACCGTTCAAAACTTCAGAAAAACGCTACCCATAATAGCAAAAAAATAATAATAATTTAAGCTCTATAACAATTAACCCTGAAAGACGTATGTATTCACTCACGATCTCTGCAAGTCAATGGAGTCACAGATGTCTTGAAACCAACTCCAGATTCTTTTTTTACTTTTTTCTCCTACACTTAGAGGCCCCCCCACTAACTCGTCTGCTGTCATTGAATTTGGATCAAAACTTGTCCGAATATTGGGAGTTCGTCGCTTTCGATCACCTGAAACAATATTGACGTAGGCAGGGGAAGTTTTAGGATTTTTGAAAAATCTGGTCAAGTGACATTTCGAGCAATATTTTTGTCTTTCACAAAAAGTCCCCCTCATCTCAATTTGAGTATAGACTGACGCCTAACTTCACCTTGAGAAAATTTTGTCAATTTAGAGTCGGTTATTCTTATATTGATGACGTTAATCAACGCCTACGGGGGCCCTTTAGGTCGCCAGCGGTTTGAACTATTGCGGGTTTGTGTGCGTGTGTGTGTCGGAGGGGTATTTTAATTGTTATACGATTTTACTTTCAATTGTTCTAGGGCATAATTGAATTGAAAATTCAAAAATAAAAATTTGAAGAAAAACTCAATTTAAACTATAGCCAAAAACTTCCAGGTGAAACCAAACTATTTTTCACCTCGGGATAACATCTAAACATTTCAACCTTTTGGTATTTTTCTCAACTCTTGTAGTAAAGACTTAATGGCGTGGAAGATAGCATCTCTAGTGGACATCGTTATCAAATCATCAGCTTCATCTGGCGTGCACGCTTTCGGCGTTTCATGGCTTCCTGAGCTTTTTATCGCCTGAAAAATTTACATTTAACTTAAATTCAACTTTCAAAATTTCAACTTACAAATTTCAAACAGAGATTCAATTGCCAACATGATCCATTACATCAATTCAAGTTTTTTTAAGATTGAAAAATATAAAAATTTATAACGAAAATCTTCAGACGGCAGTCAGCTTATTTAGATTACGATGATTAACGCGCCATTACTTATTATCAAATCATTTAAAACTCTAAAAAAACAAATTTAAAAACCGGAATTTATGAGCAATTTGGTAGCACCTCAAACGGATTTTTAAACTAGCAACTTCTAAAACGAAGGAAAAACTATATTGACCAGCTGTAACACAAATAAATCAAAGACAGTATGTCGAATTGCATAATCAAAACCAACCTCCAACGCATTTACCAGAACTCCTTTGAATCTGGGCATCAGCATTTTGTCCACAATATCCGAGACAGTCTGGGCCCGATCGAAAGAGCCGAAAGCTAATTTCCACAGATAAAAACCATCAGGATCTATATCTTGTCTGGAGTGAGTTTCAAACACAAACTCGGGAGAGACTGCGTATACTGGATGGTTGTCAAAAACAGCTAAAACCCAAATTAATGAATTGAGTAGATTCAGTATTCACATAATCAAATACAGCTAAATGAAAAACTTGATCTGTAGATTAAAGACGCTTTTGAGAATGTCAAACAAAATTATCTGGCGCCAAAAATAATACCCAATTCTCCTTCATCTGACCAAGGTAGCAAGTTAATTGTATCGTACAATACAACCAGGCATTTGTATTTCATTCATTTGCTACAAAACTTTCATTCATTTGCTACATTCAACTAGCTTATTCTGTGCAATCTCAAGATAGAAAGAAATATCGGCATCATCGGTAGATAAAAAAATTGCCTCGTAAATAAATACGAAGCGGTGGAAATGAATCTCCAACCTGGAGATTAGGAGTCTTTATCACAACGGTATCCAAAACAACGCAGATAAACACATGTTAATAATTTAGCATGGCTTTTGTTCAAGCTAAGCAGCAAACTTACCGCCAAATTTAACCCTTCTACTTGCAAGTTGGATTAGATAAAATCGAAATTTGTATTAAAACAAAAAAATCGCAAGCTTGTTTTGTTTGCGTTACAAATCGAGTTGGTAAAATTACCATCGACATAAAAACCAAGGTTTGCATATTCCGGATGATTAATATGCTTTCATGCTCAGATTTTGACTGTTCGCGTATTTTCAACAGAAGATACCAGGAGATGAGTCCTGTGAACTACGTTTCTTACGGGAAAAAATCAAGTGTAAATATCATTACGAATTACGACTGAAACGGCTCGAGTATGATATATCACCCTGATACAGGTATTCTGATACCGCAGAAAGCTTTTCATGATACCGCATGTTGCCGCCTAAACATAGCTACAACCTTCGCAGACCAGGAAAAATTGAAATTAGCCAAGAGACAGTTCAAAGAGAGTCACTGAGCGCAAGGCAAGGTCGTTTTTTGAAGAAAAAAAATCAAACTTTGAAAAAAAAGTTCGAAAATATATACAACTTTTATACAAAGCGCTACAAACGGCAGCAGCAGAAAAGAAAAAAATGCTGGATATATTTCGTTCTTCCTCTCGCTTGGAGTAATGATTCACCTGTTCCTTCACAGCGCAACAGCGGCAACAACTTAATGCAGAGATTACTTGCTTGTTTTAATCTCCTAGAATTCGGAAAACAAGCGTTGCAATTTTTAAAATAAGTAAAGACTTAATCGGCAGCCAATCTAGTTCAATTAGTCGGGTTAATATGAAAGTCGTTCCAAAGCAGATAACAAAACGAGCAGCTGCATTCTGAGCGCGCTGAAGGTTGTAAATTTGATCAGCAGTCGATTCAAATTAGAGGCTGTTACAGTAATCCTGCATATAAACAACAAAAAATTGAGCTAGATGAGCAGCGTTTTTGATTGATACCTCCTTATTTTTCGGAGGTGCCTAAATTGCCAGTAACATAGTCCACCAACACAATTGATCTGCTCGTTCATTGAAAAATTTTCAGCACAAAACCCTAATTTTCTGGGTTTATTTTCATATAAATATTTTTACCTGAAAATGTTACAATCTGCGGCCAAACAATCCGTCTTGATTTCTTTGATATGACAAGCAACTCAATTATCTTCTCATTATGGGCTGGTGCTAAAGAGCCTAAACATCTTTTAACCCTTAAGCTTTTTCGATCATCACCATTGCGAGCCTCAAAAATCAAAAGAAGGCTGTCGTCAGCATTTTTGTTGTATAGCCGATTCAATTCTCTCGAAACATTGCCAACAACGAGAAGATCAATAATGAACTGAAGAGCTCCCATCACGGTGCCTGATGGCGCCTCTTTTCATTTTTCGCCTGGACGATTTGTCGCCTTCATGTCACTACGTCAGTTCTGTCAGTCAAATAACAAACTTTCCCTTTCATGCCCAATCTCTTTTGCAAAATTGCAAGCAGAGAACTGTGATGCAGAGTATCAAAGGAACTGCTGAGGTTAATATGCACTAAAAGAACAATTTTGCCATTATGAATCACTGCAGCTACATCAGATTTGAATTTCAGCAGTGCAAATTCAGTTGAATGTTAAGATAAATAAGCAGACTGATTTGAGTCTAACAGACAACTACCATGGAGATAAATTATGAAAGGTTTAGCTACATGGTTCTCTAGAATCTTGCTGAGTATAGGAACGTTCCAGACATTTTTTTGAAAATGGCTGAACTTAACGCCTATCAATGATGCATCCTTCAACAATGGGGATGACTGGCCAACCATCAGGAGTTCAGCAACTCCGCCGATGTCAAGTTAAAATTCAAACAAATCATCTGCAAAGGATAGCTTTGAAAATTTTTCAGTCAAAATGAACATCTGCCGCTGTCGACCAGCAAGTCAAGTTTATTTTAAGGTAACTAGCAGACACTTGTTTATACGGCAGATAATTTTTGTGACAAAAATAACCCTATAAGTCTACGAGTCAAAGAAACATAGAAACTATAATGTTAAATTTCCTGAGATGGACTCTCGACCATACCTCCTGGTGTTACCGTTCAATCACATGCTTTATTGACTGGTAGAACAGCTTGGAATCACTGCCGACACTAAACTTTGAAGAAAAGAGCTGCGCTTGTATTTTGACAAAATCTGAGTGCAGCAAACGATTTTCATCGGCCGTTCTCTCTTCCTGTTACTCTCTGAACAACTACATCATCATCAAATAAAAACTGTCTTTCTTAGCAACCGTTTTAACGCAGGACAGTGGACAATCTAAGAACTACAGCATGCCTTCAGTTCCATTTTGAGTGCAATGGCGCTACAAACACATTCGTCTCCACGAAGCACTGATGGTCATCATTGTCTTTTCGAAAATCGTGAAAAAACAAGAGCAGTGATCGCTGAGATTACAATTACCAGCGGAAACATCAGTTATCCTCACACTTAGCGAAAAAAAACTTTGATCAAGTTAATCTCCACGGTGATGGATGAAAAAACCATTTGTTCAATTAGTGTCTCAAGCATGGCGTCGAGGAGCCTCGCTGTTTCATAATCAGGAGAATTGTTGGAATGGATGTTAAAATGAAGAATAATAACTCGCTCGATACACGAGCGCTAAGATTTCACGTGATTCAGAAACTCCAAGAAAACCATGAAAGATTCCGGCGGGGTCGATAAAGGAGGCAAATGATGATCGAATCTCTACCTATGATTTCAAATAGAAGAATCTCTATATGTCATTTCCATAACTCTCGATCTCGGTTTCTTGGTGATTCTGGGAATAGCCCACCTCATCTTTTATCCTTCATATTAGCACAAATAAGTTTACTATTTCTTTTGGGCTACAGCCAACTAAAACATTTTGATCGATCTCTTTATCTATTGCCCATGTCTCGGTGAGAAATAAAAAGTAAGGATCGGAACTCCATGCATGCGAAAATCTTTTCGGAGAGATCTGACGTTTCACAGACAACAGTTGACATTTTGCAGGTTTCAGCTTTTTAGTCAACATTTTCTCCAAAATTTCAACCGTCTTCGCATCTTCACTGTTTCTAAATTTTTGGTATATTACTTTCTCGGGCCCGATAAAACAAGCTTCAACCTTATCTTAAGAGTATTCAGCAAAAACGCAGTGAAAAGCGATTGCTCTTGAGTTCTCTTTTGATACCAATAGAACTCGTATGGGATTCACTCGCTTAAATTTGCAATGTTCCATCACTAATTAACAAGCTAATCCATTATTTCCTTTACCAACATACATACATCTCCTGGACGTAGCTACTCAGTTGACGAGAATTAATTGCTGGTCTTCTCCGTTCCTTGCTTAACTTGGTTCATTCTCAGCTGCTCAAAACCGCAAATAGTTTCGCCTATATCTTTTTTCTCTCCGGTCTTATCTGACAATTATGCAGCATTTGAATTCCTGCGTAAATTTACAGCAGACTTCCGCCGTATAATTTCTCTGAAAAAGGGCTGTTTCTCTGCACTACCCTGGTTTTCATCTTAAACACTGAACCGCTATCTGCTTTTGTTTTATTTCCTCAACATTGATTGCTAGACTTTCAAGCTTTGACAGTCGCTTGTTGATATTATCAAGAAAACCAATGAAGTTGCCGTAAAGCAGATCGTTGATGACCGAGGGTCAATCCATACAAGAAGATTAAAGAAGACCATAATTAAGCAAACTAGAGGATGGCAACATAACTTCAACACATTTCAAATTCACTGACCGACAAGGAAACTGTAAAAGTCCCATTGCATAACATCCATTCGGTATAAAAAGCATCAGCTATATTCACTTGATCTGCCATATTGAGCAAAAACTCCTAAAATCTGACGGACTAAAAGCTTGATAAGGTTGAATAATCTGGCCGCCAGAAAACTTGATAAGGTTGAACAATCTAATGTTATCAAAATAATCAAGAAAATAAACTGTTTCTTGTAACTACAAAATATAAGTTCTACGATGAGAACTACAAGTTATAAGTTTGATGCAGGCTGAATATTCAAAATCAAGAGTCGTTTTAGGGTCAGGTACATACACAGGATCTCTAAAATCCCTTAGTAGAGAAAGGCTGCCAAGTTGAAATATCTAGTTTGTCGAAACAACATCTATTTTTCTTAAGTTTATCACTACAATTAGGCTTGGTTACGAACTGTTAAGATTACAATCAACATTAAAAGCAGGAATCAAACAGGCCTGATAACCACTTTTAAGATCAAAACTTGTCCTTTCTAATACTTACATTCAGAAGATGAGTCCTGTGAACAAAAATTTTTAAGGCATAAAGTCGAATGTTAAAATCATTACGAACTATGACTAAAGCTCTCGCGCATAATAGATCACTCTGGTACAAGACTTTTCATGATATCTCTCGAAAAATGCTAAAACCATCGTGGATAAAAATATTAACCCACAGCTAATAGACGTTTGGAAAAGAGTCAATGAACGCAAATCGACAAAAAAAGAGTCCATTTTTTTTAAATTTTCTATTGTCGAAAATTAAAGTTGAAAGAAAAATGCTCCTAAAGCTTTTTAAATTTCAAGAACAAATTTGGATTGATAATTTTTTTGATAAGTTTAAATCAAATTGAAAAGAGGAACAATAGATTTTTTTACCTCACACAAAAAATCCAAAATTTCAAATCCTTTTTTTTTAATTAGAAGTCAATCACGTTTTTCTCGATCTTTTTGCTGTTCGATAGTGGAAATAGTATCCTTTCAACGAAAAAATTGAACTGAACTTAAACTGAAATCGAAAGTCAATCCCCAACTTCCTGAACAAAACAAAATCATCACAATCTATATAACATTCTTGACTACGTTCACCAAATCAGAAAAAAATACAAAACTGAAAAACGATAGGCACACATGAGCTAATCACCGCGCTTTTGTATGAAACACAGATAATCGGAGATGTGACCTGATAAAAGACCTATAGACCTAACTAAAATGATTTTCAATTCGATTTTTTGGTTGACATTGATATTTGAAAATTAGATTATATTTAAGTGCTGCTGTAGTACATACAATTGCAAGAACTGAAAAAGGTTTCCTTTTTCAATCAAGTTGTCAGCCCAAACATAGCCAACAAAGGCAACATAGACAACATATTTTATCGTAACAATATTTGCGACTTAGGTTGGAAAAAAAGATAGTTCATACAATAACATAAACATTGCTTGTGTAAACGTAAAAAAAATGGTGAAACTTTAAGTTGTTTGATTAGACAGAGGAAGCTTCTTGAAATTTACTCGACTGAATGAAGGAGTTGAAGTCGTCTGCGCACGATTGTAAATTAACTTCACGTGTTTTCGCGCCAATTCGTAATTGAGCGCGCAGTTTGCCTACCTTTTGAAAAATGAACTTGAACTGAACACAAATTGCATATACACCTAAGTGCATTATTATGGACTGCATTGTTATGGACATACTTGCATTATTATGTAGAATGCAATTCTTTATTATTATATTAGATCATTTTAAGACTTTCTCCTGAAAACAACAAACACACAAATAATCAAGACCTATATAAATGAAATCACTCCGTTCTTTTACACATAAAAACCGATTTGATAAAATTTTTTGCATTTAAATAAATAGATTATTTACCTTTCTCAACATTCGGCTCCATTTGATTCGTATAAATGAATTCCTTCCATGGCAAGGTGAACTTGAAAACGAGGTTGTAGTATCTTTTAGCGACCAAATCATCCGTCCTTTTTCGACCGTCATCTTTGAAACTTTCAAAAGCTGAATTGCACTGAACCTGCAGGTCGAGCCATTCTAACCACTCCATAAGGATATTTTGGCCATCATCACAAAGAGAACAAAGCTGTGGATGAAAGCTGCTTTCAGGTACTCCAACTGTACCGTCATTAGCTTTGACCTTCTTCGCTGTTTTTGGTTTTAATTTTGTGGGCTCAAGTTTAAGAACTTCAGTTTCGTTTGACAGAAATGTTTCATACTGTGCTTTAAATGAAAGCAGGCCATATTCATTTTTTTCAAACTGTTTCTTGAAGGAAGGTGGGCCTTTTTCGCTGTAGTATCTTGATGTCATCAAAAATATGTCGCATGATTTGCAGAAATTATCTCTCTCTAAAACAAAAAAAACGTTTTATATCACTTTATTCCAAAGGAACCGTTAATTTTTCAAGTGGTAACGGAATTGAAGATAGTCAACAGATAAATCAAGATTGACAGTAAAACCAAAAATACAATTTTTCTTGCCTGGATCTTTCTAGATCTAACTTAATCACCCAATTTTTTCAATTGCTAGAACGTTTTATGAAAACCACATTTATGCTCAGAAGTTCACACAACACAATTATCCCAGACTGAAAGTTTCACATTAAGTGGTGAAAGAAGGGCTATAACAAAGCAATCTTTAGTTTCCAGTCAATTAAATCTTTGCATTAATATGCATATGTAAGCATGAAGATTTTTTCAATTTACAGATAACTTACCCTTTTTTTCATCCATAGACAGTCCTTCTGTCAGCAGAGGTTTGTATTTTAGTTGAAACACTTTCTAGTATTTTCCAAGTTCGCCAAAAAGTTTATTTACACAATGAAAGTAAGAGTACAATTTCATATCTAATTTGCTAATTATGCTTGATGATAGCCAATTATTTGACTTTCGTCTATTCTTTTTACTGTTAATCCAATATTTTTTTTTACTTCATGATGCATTTAATTAGCATTTCTTTGTAAACCCTCAGTTTTTAAAATTTATTTGCGTCCGAAAGATCACAGCTGACTTTATCATCTTTTCTCATTTCTTTGTAGTGATGATTATATTCAAACTAAAATTTATTTCAGAAAAACTCAACTTTATTCAAACAGTTTTATTTATCTAGTAACTATTATATTCCGGACTTTCTTCAAATTAAATATTCGTAGCCAAAGACTACTCTTCATGGTCATCAGATATCAAAAAGTTCTTAATTAATAGACCGAAACTGAAGTGTAATTATTCATTAGACGTATGCCATCAACACCGATAGCAGGTAGATTGTTCTTAAATCGCAGGCACTAAAATCTCAACTGACTAAAATTGGTATAAGAACATGACATTACTAATTGGTGACAGAAAACGTGGGTACAAGTATGATAGTTGGGTCCCCAGGTTTAAAAAAAACGGCAATTTTGTGAAATTACACAAGTAAACAAATGCGAACCATGTTTTCGAAAATTTTAAGGCCTGGAAATTTTCTTTCAGGGACTCATCTAAATTTAAGGGACCCAACTATCATACTTGTACCGAAAACTTGAATCAAATTATCACTTATCCTTAACTTGTTGTACTGATTTAGTGACAATACAAACCCCTGACACAAAGATTGAAAGCCATTTTAACTTTTCCAAATGAATACAATTTCCCGGCATTACTTGTCTGCTGAGCAGTGAATCTCATTTCGGGCATATTCAAGCTAGTTGATTTCAACCATTTCATGCGGTCCAAAAGTGCTTCCACACACATCTGTCTAGCAGGGTGCTGTTCAGTTGTCAAATTTCTCCTGAGTTGTGTCCTTGAAATATTTGTCAGGGTCTTAATCAGGACATTCAAATCATCTAAACATCACTCATATGACTGAAGACTGTGACCTAATTTTTTATGAATTGAGGACAGGAGTGCTTACCTGATTTCTTTTTCTTAATATCAAAGACGTCAGGTACTGATACTGGTCGGCGGCTTTTCAGAGCCTCCTGAAGTTTGAAGTAATCTGCGGCGTGATGCTGATTTAGAAACTTTTTATCGAAACTTTCAATGAATGATTTTGTCCCATTTTTCAGTTCATCAAAAGAGAGAATATCAGCGCACATTGCGATGAGTATTCTGCAAATGAGATCACTTCATGAGCATCTGAAGAACAAATTCAACTGATATTTCTCCTCGAATCTACTACTCATCATAGCGTTAGGGTAGGGGGTATAATGCAAATTACTCCTTTTGTAGTAACATGTTAGTTTGTACGGATAGGCCAAATATCAACACCCGCGAAGAGTTCAGTAGCCGGGAACCACACTATAGGACGAAATTAAACGCAACTTCTAGATTTTACTCTGTAAAATGACTGTTTTCAGTGTACATTTATTTTGGACATTTCCTATATTCAGTAAAAATTTTACATTGGCCGAAAGCAAATTATTTTTGTTTTTTAAGTTTTCTTATATGATCAGAAGGTCGAAAACATCATAGTAACCGAGGTTACAGTCTTTGACATTCGACCAGAATTTGCCAAAATGCAGATTCGGCGATTTCGAGTTTTTAGCAGCGAACCTTCCGAATTGGCGATTTAGAAGGAACAAGAACGTTATTCGAACGATTGGACAAATCGTGAAGGCCGAGGGATTCGAAAAATCCTAAATTTTAAATTTTCGAAGTGATGACGTTGTAACATTCGCCCGGAAGATACATATCGACGGAAAACAAAACTTAGTCTTAAGACGACTGGCTAACGTCTAAACAGAGCTTTGCATGCTTTTCACCGTCTCTACCAAGCCAGTACTTTTCGGTGGTCTTTTCCAACATCGGGTCGACAAAAACGTTACTGCTTTCGACTTCGTCAAAACACTCAAATTAATAAGATTACATGCAGAAAAAGTGAGCTCATGGCTGGGTCTCAGTATCCTCAGACCACGAGGTCACTCCTAAAAACAGGGCTACTACTATTTATTATATTACTATTGTTTTTGTTCAGTAGATAAAAATCATCATCTCCATCGAAGATGGATCAACCCTTTCCCCCCAACTCCTAGCTTCTCATCCTTATCAAAATGGATCTAGTTGTTAATTAAATTCAAATCAGGACATGACAAGAAGCTAAAAGTTTATATAAAAGGCTAAAATTTTCAGCCCCGAAACCCTTCCGGATTCTTGAATCCGCTGAATCAAGCTCGTTAATCTTGATTTCTTCTTAATCCGGAAGGCTGTTCTCCACCCTTCACCGTTGTCTGCAACGGCCTTGCAACTATTGTAGCGACACAATAGTTGCAACTCGGAACGTTCAGTGCTATTCCTGCAATCTGCTGTTGTTTTTTATCACGATTCTCGTAGTTATCGTCCGCGCAACTAATGCTGTTGTGTTGTTTTCTAGCTTTTCTGCCAAAATGGCCGTTTTTGACGTTTCTCAGAAATGTTACAGAATCACTTCGAAAATTTGAAAATTAGCAATTTCCGAATCCTTTAACCTTCACGTTTTGTTCAATCGTTCAAATAACGTCCTTAATTCTTAATAATCACCAATCCGGAAGGCTCGCTGCTAAAAATTCGAATTCTGCAGAGATCGCATTTTTCACATTCTGGTCGAATGTCACATACTCCCCGGACAGTCCGGTCAATGTCCTCATTGAATCACGCAATGTTCGTAAAATAGATACAGTGTCATCGAACAGAATTTACAAAATGCACGAAATTACTTTTATCCACGTCGCATCGACTCACTGCAGAATGTAAATGGCATCATACTACATCACTATAGCCTTCAAATTCTTCATTAATCTGCACCTTGAGGATATGACCTAAGATAAAACATATTTTCTGACTTCCAATGTCAATTTCCTGATTAAAACTTTTTCTCTTAGATTTGAAAGGTGTTGGCTTGCAGGACAGTCCTGCCAACCAACAAGCTAAAATTATCCTACTATGCTTTCCCTTTGGAAATCTTGCTTGTTATTGTCCTGAATAATAAAACTAAGAAACTCTGTGGTTAGAAAGAACAATGAAACAATCTCCCTCTTCGAGAGATTACTCAAGCTTTCCATGTCACCACAAAGTGATCAGTTCTAGCTGATTAAAAACAGTCACGTAGGCTGGAATATTTAAATATACTCCTTCACTTAAGCCTTCCTAAATAAATAGTAAGTGAGTGTCTCTAAAGCCACTTCAACTAAAATCAAAATGCAAATTTATAAATGCAACAATTTCAAAACTCAACTAAATATTTCAGTTTTCCATTACAACTTGGTTGCTTGGTTTCTCACTTGAGTTTTTTCACACACATAAAACAAATCTGAGTTTTAACTTTTCTTCATCACTCCTTTGTTTTCTTCTTTTTTCGTCGTGTAGAAGTTCTAAAACTTCTAAATTCTTCTAATTTCATCTTGCTTTTCGGTCATTCGTCAATGCTCCAGTTCTTCCTCCTGTGATACTGACTCTGCACTCTCAGTTTCCGTATCTTGTAACACGTCGTTAGCTATCCTGACGCTGCTGGAAGTCGTCCTCCAACACTTCTGCTCTTCTACCCTCTGTTTGCAGCAAGGTACGGGATCCACGTTAGATTCTCTGTTCCTGCAGAAGCTGTTGTGGAGACACAACGTCACGTTTCTCTCCAAATCTTCTTTCAGCATCTCTGCCTTCTCCTTTCCACTACGTTCACTCGTCCTGGAAATTCTTTTCACAGCGGTGGTCACTGCATTCCGATGAGTCACGAGAGCTCGCTTGAAAACTCCTGCTCCAATGTCCAGCTGATATTCACTGTACACTCTGCCATGCTTCGACATATGCTTTTTCGCATACTCGTACAACCATGCAGTCATGTTAGCTCTGAACCATGGCATCAATCGTTTTCTTGCCCATATCTTCTTCACTTCCATCGGAATATTTAGAACTTTGCACATTGTCTCAAAAAGATCTAAATCTTTTAGACAATCTAACTTCCGCAATTGTTCTCTCGTCGGTGCCTCCTGTCTGTTATTTTCTCTCACATGAGCTTCCAGCCATCGTATCGCCATCTTAACTCCCACTATCACTATTGTTACGGGCTGTGATGAATCTGGTAAACCCATGGAGAGCAGCTCTCCAGAGTCCCAGATCAACATCAGATTACTACGCTTGCGATATTACCAGGTCTGCAGCAAGCAGTGGCAAGGAAACTCGTCATGCGTCAACATGATGCTCCTCCAATTACGTTTTCCCGAAGCTTCCAGCAATGGTTCCACTTCCATCATCACTCGGTGGACTTCATCATTCTCATCTACTGCATTGTAATATGTGACAGTTGATCCTCTCTGTTTCTGTCTCTCGAAGTCACTGAAGTTCCCGCTCACATATCCCATGAACTTCTTTCCTAATATTGAATTCAATTCTTCTTTGGTTCTCTCTGAAACTGCTGAGAACATCTTACATAGTAACTCGTAAGACTTCTCGGACATTCTCGCTAGTCTCACATACTTCGGCACTGAGAAGGCTTGATCCACAATCGTTCTTGTACTCTTCACGTCCACAGCTACGAAATGTACACGGTATCTGCTTTTGCACATTGGAGCCAAAGTTGAGCCCACCAAATATCGTGCTCCTGATGGTCTACAATAAGTCTCACTGTGTCTAATGTTCATTTCCGTCTCGATTGCTTCCCTCCATTTTCCTATGTATTTCTGCTCAGTCTGCAGAACTCCTGTGAATACTTCTACACTGATGGCTGTGACCATCTCATGTTTCTGTTCTAGATTCAACAGTGACTCTAAAGAACCAAACATGCTGTAGAATCCTAGTGCAGTCACTAGATTCACCTCGGTTCCTCCATGGCAATCTGCTATCAGTTCCGTTTCTGTTCTTGCTTTCATCACTACGTTTCCAAACAATACCGTCAATTGCTTGTGTTGTTTCTCCAGGGTCTTCACACAGTCCAGACCTCCACAAACGTGACCCTCCAGTCCACATACTTCCGCCAGACAGCTACCGGGTTTGACCCAGTCTTCTGGTCCCCAGCCAGGCAACTCCACTTTATCTTCTCCGTTGCTCTTAGAGGCTGTTATCATCACATTATATATGATGTTGAGGTCACGCAGGTTACAGTCTGCATTCAGTTCCCTCTGTACGTCTTGCGTCGCCCGTAATATTGAGTCAGCGTTGGGACTAGCACACCATGATAGCCTCATCGATTCCCACACTGCCATCAAGCTCGTTCTCAGTAATTCATCTGAGAATCCCAACCCCAACTCCACTCTTTTGTCGGATTTTGGTACTGAAGGTGCAGTCACCTCTTCTTCCAAGACCAGTCCCAATTTGGCCTGTGTATTGTTAACGCTCTTAATCGTTACAATTTTGGACGTCCAGAATCTTAGCAACACCGCCTCGTCATAATCGAAGAAGCAATCGCGTATGTCTTCACTCAGGAAAGGATTGTACGCTATCCCCATGATCCCGGATACGTAGCTATACGATTTCTTCTTGATCGGTCCACAGTATTCACTGGATTTCGGCAAGGCTCCCATAGATTCTTTAGTGAGTCTCAGCTCCTTGTTTGAGAATCTCCTGATCTCGTCTATCTTTTTCATGGGTTCCAATTCCTCGGGTTCTTTCATGTTCACCCTCATGGGTTTACTTTGCTGCATATCCAGCAGTGCTAGCAAGAATAAGGCTTTCGTTCGCTCATCGCCTTCCCTCAACTTTTTAACACAAGTGTTTAATGCAGGTACTGAAATCTGCTCTATCAGGAATCGAATGAAACAGAGAGCGTCTCTCCGCTTCGCACACGCTACTGCTGCTCCCTCCTGGACTATCAGATTCCTCAGGTTCGTCATAAGGAAAACTTTTTCCTCTTTTGATATCTTCCTTTCTTCTGAATCATATTCTTCGCGAGTCAGTCCCATCATGCACCAGGCGAACTTGAGTTGTAACTCTGTTCTTACGTAAGGCACTGCCACGAGAGCATGTATTCTTGGCGTAGTCCTCATTTCTTCTTCGAAATACCTTAATACTACTGCTTTCCTTGGAAGGCTCACCACTTGCTCTATCGTTTCTGCCTGTATGTCAGACGACGCCAAAGTCCCGTACGCCTTCTGCTTGAGGGTGGTGCCTTGCAACATCGTTTCCAGATAACCCTCCATGGCTTTTTCGTCTTCCAGGGCCATTACAT